CATATGAAGCTATGTTTTGGATTTGTGCTGCACACAGGGTTGGTAACACAGGGATGTTTCCATTACTCCTGACCAGGCTTGCACTGTGTCAGGGCCATTTTTGCTCCTCACACCACCCCACCAGCGAGTGGGCCGGGGGTGCAGAAGGAGCTGGGAGGTGACACAGCCAGGACAGCTGACCCCAGCTGACCCAGGGAATATTCCAGACCATATGGCATCATGCTCAGCATATAAAGCTGGGGGGAAAAGCAGGAAATGAGGTGGACAGGAGGAATGATGTAATTTGTCACTGGACAAATGGCAGGACCTCTGTTCTCCAGTAGATGGAAGAACATCTGCCTGCTGATAGGAAGGGGCAAATGAGTTATAAGTTTTGCTTTGCTTGAGTGCCTTTTGCTTTACCTATTAAACTGTCTTTATCTCCATCCAGTTTTCTCACTTTCACTACTGTGATTCCCTCCCCCATCCCACTGTGGGGGAGTGAGTGAGTGGCTGTGTGGGGCTTAGTTGCCAGCTGGGGTTAAACCTTGATACTGCAGAAAGTCAAAAACTTGATCAAACAATAAGCAGCAACATATTCAGAGACATGAATTCACACCTGACAAACAACTAGGACAGCCTGCAAGTCTAAACTCCAATGAGTCTGATGAACACATGCATGTCTCCAGTCCATCGCAGACCACCCTATAGTCTGAGGACACAACAATAGCCATGAATGAGAAGGAGAACCAAGAAATCCATCTTTATCTTACCCCGAGATTTATCACCGACCCTTTGGGCTGTGACACAGCAAGAAGCAGTTACCTGAAATGATAGAGTCCAAACAGCCTGAGAGACCCCACCAATGAGATGAGATGGTCCTTTTGAAAACCTTTCATCCATTTTCTGGCAAATCTTGGTGCTGCTAGAGTTTGTCACCAACTTGAGTGTTTTGAATGCTCCCCGAACATCCAAAAGTAGAGAGAGATTTAGGTGGCAGTCAGCATGGCTGACAACAAGTATGGAGACAGCCAAGTTAGTTCCACTAGTCCTAAGGAATGCAATGGCAGTGTTGGTAGCGCTGATGTACCTAGAACCCAGAGTGCTGGGGCAGGCAAAGAACTGCTGCAGCAGTTAAAGCAGGAAAAAAAATGCTTACAGCACTTCAGAGGCTAGACTGTCTCTGAGGATGACCAAATCAAAGATGCCTCTGTGGTGATCACAATCTGACAGAACTTGGCTTGTCTGGAAGGGAGAAGACAGAGAGACACCCTTGGAATGGCTTTCTTAGGAGGATGGCCACTGGCAGATCAAAGATAAAGCAGCAGCATTTACCTGAATGCTTTCCAGCCCACAATACCCACTGAGTCCCAGACCACAGAAAACTTCAACTGCATTCTCAAGGAGAGATTTGGTGTAGCTCAAGCTCACCACCCCTTCCAGACTTTAAAGAACACCATGTGGAGCAAGACTTTCTCTATCAAATTAATTAAACACTGTACATGTGTCAGAAGACAAAATTCGGCCCCAAAATAGGGGCACACCGAGGGTGTAAAAGAGCATTGGGAGATAGCAGCAAAAATAAAGAGAAACACATTTTCTCCTCCTGACAATTCAGAGTGGCAACTGCGCAGCAGAGAGAAAATGAAACGACATGAGAATTAGCCACCTTCCACAGTCACTGAGCAGGAAGCTGAGCACAGCCCCTAATGAACATGTTTCTGGTCTCAAGTGGTTATTTGAATCAAGGCCATTTGAATAATTTGTGAATTATCACTTCAAAAAACAAAAAAGCAGATGCAACTTTATACTAAATAACTAAAGTGCAAACTTGAAAACTATGTCTGTCCATTTACTGCCTCATTTGTGCTTGAGTCCTACTCCAATTTGCACTTAATTGGATTACTATAGCTGATGGCAAAATGAGGTGTTGAATACATGTATTTCTGTAGTCAATTAAATTCAACTTAAATCCCAAACATGTATAAAGTTATGACTGATCAGTGCACAAAGCTACTCAGCAGAAACTCAGCACAAATAAACTTATGAAAAACTCTTCCCCACAAATACATTGTGCCACTGATGGCTCCTCTGACAGAGCAACACTTAACTTATGATAAATTCCACAAAATTACATTTCTTAATCATTTCAGATAGGAAATAAACAAATCTAAAGTGATCTACATGAACTGAAAACCAAAATAAATTAACCAAAAGGAAAAATATACAGTCATACTTCACACAAATCTGTATACACAGGACTGTGATTTAGAATAACTTATGTGAATATGTGCATATCTTTGTTTACTTGTTTAGCTCAAAACATGTATTTTCTTTTTTTTTTAGCAGCCTTCACAGTCTAAAGCTTCAAATAAATAATTTTGTTTACTTCATATAACCAAGAATGTGATCTATTCAGGCATTTAAGAAACTAAAACAGCCCACAGTGGCAGGGGACAGTTACAATTTGAAAAGAGTAACTTTATTACCTCAGTTGTTTCTGTATCAGTTTTCAATGTAAAACTTTATTTTTCAATTTCCAGCCATAAGAATTTAGGCTAGAAGCCAAATATAGTTAAATCTCTCTTTGATTCTGAGGTGCCTGAAAGCTGAGCGCTACCACCACATAAACCCTTATAACCCCATCCCTTTTAGAGCACATTGCTAAGTTTACCCTAGAGAATTTATCTTCCTTTATGCAAAGATGTAACTGGGCCACACGTGAGAACAAATGCCTAAAAGCAGAGGTTAGCTTGTCTTTAGCTCTGAACACGTCCATCACAAAAAATCATCCAGAGCAGTATTAATTTTGTAAGACCAACAGCAACAAGAACAGACAGCTATACCTTACGTGCCAAGTTTTTCATATTTGGATGACAATACCACTTATCTGTGACACACTAAATAGAAATACATATTAAATACTTAATAGAAGGTCTGGTTTGTTTAAAAGTCTCTGCAAACATTTGAAGGTCTGCTACCTAGCCACTTATGTTTTATCTCTTCCACATTTTACAAATACTTAGAGCAGTCCTGGTACTCATATGAAACAGTTTATAACAAACATCCTGAAATATGAAACCAGCTACAACTTTGGAGAGAAAAAAGCTGAGGAAAACATGGACAAGATGTATAAAATCGTGAAGGCAGTGGATAAGGTGAGTGTAGAACTGTTATTTAATGATTCACGGTGCTTGAGCTAGGGCTGTTTCCTGTTGAAAATGGAAGGAAAATTGGAAATTGAGGAGAAAAGATAAAATCTTGTATTTTTAATGTCATTGCTAGTGAACTACTGCAACTTGCTGCCAGAGAATGTTGGGTTGGATTACATGCAAGTAGCATTTAATCAACTGTACTCATAGATAACAGCTCCATGAATGTCTAGATAATAAAGGGATGAGGCAGACATCCCTATACTCAGTGTGTGTGGATTTCATTAGGGGAAGATGCTAAAGAAAGTGGCCAGGCTTATGTGGTGTCCTTAAGCAGTACATCCTACTCCCTCCATTGGAGGCCAAATGCTGGGCCAGAGAGACCCTGCTGAGATCCACTTGGGTATGTCTTCTGCTCTCTTATCTTTAAAAAGTTTTGAAGTTCATTGTTTTGAAAGATAATAAACCGCCCAAGACAGAGCATCAACAATTTACAACACTGTTCACAGATGTGTCACAGGCCAGATGGGCAGCTCACCACCACTGAAAGGTGAATGCCTACCCTGAAAAAGCCAAAGCACTGACACCAGCTACTAGAAAATCTCTCATCTGCTAAATTCAGCAGCTCAAGAGAAGTGAGGCTGCTGCTGCTCCATGCCCCCAGGTCCAACCAGTAGCAAGGCTGAAAATGTTTTCCCAAGAGGGACATAGACACAGATCAAACACCACGCCCCCACCGCCTGCCCCCAACACATATGTACATATATATGGCTGGACATACAGATCCTGGACAGACACTCTGAGCACTCCTACCTCATCCTGCTCCTTGATCTGGCTCAGCAAGGCAAAGGTCCACTAATGGAAATATTTCTATGCATCCAAGGTGGATCTCACCAGCAGCTTGCCTCAGCCACACCTGGATCCCAGACTCCTCAGTTGCTGCACCCGGACATATCAGCCCTCAGGCTGCAGCCCGACTCCAGTTGCTGGTACAGAGCATTACACAACCTCCAGAAGCTTTTCCTCTGCATCCCCTAATGCGTCCCACACCCCCAGCTAGCAACACTGTTAGTCCAAAAAAGTGAACTGCAGAGCTGTTCCCCAACCCCACATGGTGACCTGGACACAGGCTGGGGCTCTGCAGGCACAGGCCTGAGAGGAGACTGGGCAGGATCACTCTTTCTCTGAGTCCTTAATCTGGGTTTCTTCCTGCCCCTTTGCTTCTCTAGGCTGTGCAGATGACCTCTCATGCCTCTCCCATGATGGACCCAGTAGTAACCTGGCAAAGTTCTGTTTGGGCTTCCCACTCTGTGTCTGGGCATCCCCATGCTATGCAGATGAGATTTATCACACAACTAAACATGCATCACTGCAGTCAGCCATTCTTGAAATGCAACGACTTTGCACCAGCTTTCTAAGCTCTAACACACAGATTAAATCTGCCACAGGTCATCTGTTTCTTAAAATACATTGTGATGATCAGTCCCTTTCCTCAGCATCTTGCTGGAAATCATCACGTATTGCTTACCATAAACTGAGTATGGTTGTTAATGATTAGGTAAATCACATAATGAGCAAAGGGTTAGCACAGGCTGCGGTCAGCAATGTGCACATCCCTGATGCTACAGCTTCAGCAATCTCATCAAGGTCAAGGCAGCTACTTGAGTGGTTAAAACAAAGCCTTTGTGTCTCAGCTGAAGTTGGGACATTACAGACACAGCCCCTGATCTGCAGACAGACGTGCCTGGGGCCTCATCCAGTGCCCAGCCCAGACAAGTCTTTTCACTGAGACAGGAAGGCATTGGACCAGCTTCTAGGATCACAATACTTTATCTACTTTCTATTTTATTTTTTGGGGGTTGTTATTACCTCTCTGTTGGTCTTCTGTTCCATTAAGTTGTTTTTGTGCTTCTTCAATTTTGTCTGCAAGAAAGAGAGGTCACTATTAAAATACATATATAAAAAAGGCAAGATTGTAGTAAGTCATTTATTGAAATCAGTCTTGAAATATCTGTTTATATTTAGGACTGATATCATTCATGTGTAACTATGTGGTACATTATGAGTAATACAACCATATAAAATTTTATCATGTTTTACCAGAGAGGCTATTGACATGTTAAATTACACGGAACCACCGAAAGAAAAGCACTGGCATTGGATCTGCAGTTAACAGCTAATCCCACTGTAGCTTCCTACCATCTATAATAATGTGCACAGCCAAGGGACTCTTTGGAATAGGTATTATGGTGCATTACAGAGTCTTTTAATACATTTTTGAAAAATGCTGTTAGAGCAAGTCAATGTTGCGTTAAACATAGTGAGAAGAACAGCAAACAGGATTTGCTAAGTGAAGCAATGGAGCCAATCGTCTCACATGGGAGCCCAGGGGGTGAGTAGCAGCCCCCACCTTATTTCTTTGTGAAACAACCAGAAATTCCCACATGCACAGAGCAGGAGCAAAAGGAGGCCCTGAGTCTTTACTCCCAGTCTGTCTTTGCATTCACCTGCTGCCCCTCAGACACACTGGTGATGGAAGGAGAGTTGTGCTTCACCTGCTGTTGCACAGAAGGAACAGGGGGGGTCTTTGTTCTGCGTGTGTGCAGGTTCGCATGTGCAGAGCAAGAAGCAAGAAAAAGCGCAACTGGAGTGAATAAAAATTTGAGACCGATCTTCTTTTGATAGCAAACAGTCCTCTGAGTAGCTTCAGGATACAAGGTTGTGTTGGTAAGAAGCAGCAGCACTGGGAGAGGCTGAGCTCTCTCTCTTGGGTTCTAGCATCAAACTATGGCCTGACTGACCAAGATCTGAGCTTGGAACATGGCTTTCAGATGTAAATGGTCATTTTCTAAAATACCTGTGAAAACCCTTTTCCCTTGTATTATTTTTTTCTTCTTTTCCCCCGGTGGGGTCAGTTTTTATTGAACTAAATTGAAAGAACAGAATGTAACTGGATTCATCCTAAATCTCTCAGACTCTCTTGGTGCAACTCAAGAAATGCCAGACTTCATGGCTGCCATACACAGGAGGAGGACAACAGCTCTGCAAAGCCCTCACCTCCTTCTTTGCAAGCATGGAGGCTTTACTCAGTCTGACTTTTACTCAACCTTGCTATACAACACAAGGTTTTAAAAACTGGTTCTTTCTTCAACATAATTCTTAAAAAGTGGGTTTAAATTATTTCTCTATTATTTATCAGCTGAATCACTCAAGCATGTTGGAACCATTTATTCACAGTTGAAGTCTGATATGGTGTTTGAATTCTTCCCTCCACAGAACCAAATAATTATAACTGAATCAAACCCTTCTTGCAGCTTTTAAGACTGAATTTTGTTGACCTCACTCTGGTTCTGCATTTCTGATTTCAGAACATGTACCAGGTTTCCTTTCCACAAAGGAAAGGAAACCTGGTACTTGAAAGCTCAGTAATTTCTGTGTTGTACATTGTCCCAGAGAATGAACCAGAACATCTCACAAGGGTGCTAACTGAGCAGACTCCCAAAGCTTCTCATGAGAAAGAAAGAAACCATGGCAATTTGAAAAGACAAACTTCTTCTTTCTTCCCCTGGAGTTAGTGAGACACACATACATATTTAACAGAAAGCTTTATAACATTTTATTTTACTTACAGCTTACTGGCTGCTGAAGATTAACACAACTCAAAAAGAACACATTCCTTCACCATCTCTTTGCCAAGCCAGTTATGCAGGCTTACTTTAAACATAGAAGACTTGATATTTAATGTTTTCCTGGATTAAATACTATGGCTGAAATACTAAATGTATTAATACATTTTTTTTTGTATAGAAAGGGATGTAAATAAACATTTCCAACAAAAAAAAGGAGGAAATATAAACAAAGCATCTTTTATATACATGTGCCACTAATACTCTCAGAGGAAAACGTATCTAGCAATTTTACATGGTTTTTCCACAGACTGTTGCTTTAGAGAAAGGTGATGGAATAAGCAATTTACAAAGTCGCAGGACAGCCGATAAAATATATGAACACACAGGGAAAAAAAAAATTACCCATAATAATGGAGCTGTAGGTTTTAGCAAAAGGCAACACAACATCAAATCTATAGTTTGGCTCTCAAACTCACTTTTCCTATGTTAGAGAAATATTTAATGCACAATATATTGTGTTTCTGTTCTCAGAGTAAATGTTTTGTCAACAAAACTTACATCTAAGTACATAGACAACTGCAGTTTTATTATTAAAATTATTATCTGCATATTTCACATAAATGCTACAAGAAATATATGTATTTAAATTCACAATCATTTTATTTTTTTGAGAAAAATTACTTAAGTATTTCAGAATCACGCTACATGAGATTGCCAGAAAGATTAAAGGCTTTGATCTCCTTAACTGAATACTATGTCTCATTGGAAAAAAAAAATAGTTCCTATCAGTAATTCCCAACCATTCCTTTGTCAGACTGTAATCCCAAACAAAGAACCACAGATAACAGAAATAATAGCTAGGTAAACAGGTGACTGGTACACAGCCAGAAAGTCTCCTACACTTCCTGCCTCTCCTGACACATTTCCCCAAGGAGTTATTTTTGCTGTGTGTATTTCTTCATACCCATGGCAGTATCTCTGTGCAGAACAGTTTTGAACATTCCGAACATTGAAAAATCTTGGTGTCAGTGATCTGGACCGTAAATGAGACATGGGTATTAACATCAGTTTGGGGCTAAATGTTTTGTTAGGGCCTACATCCTCCTGACGGCCAGCATCACACGCTACCTGCTCTGGCTATTGCACCAAGGCATGTCCAAACCATCGTACAAAATCTGCGGCAGCTGCTTCCCACCCTGCTGCATTTTACAGCTATGGACCCTACACAGGCAACTGCCTGACAGACTGCTGTGTTTCAGGCTGGAAGGAAGAACGGGGTTATCCCTAAGGGCCGTGGAGCAGGTGGCAAGAGCAGGCTTAGAGCCAAGTACCCCAGCACACCAAAAGGCAGCTTCCCCAGGTCTTCTGCCAACTCGCACGTACGCCAGCAATAACTTGCTAACAAGTTTATATTATCCAGTCATCTCCTTCTCTTGTATGCCATTAAATTAGCTGTATGTCAAACATCTTAAGGAAAATTATTTCAGACAACATACCGTGTTCTGTCATAATTATATTATAGGTGCTCTAATGGTACCTACCTTTGAAAATGCTTTGTAAGCAAAAACACATCACACAAAAAATCATCTGTAAAGCCCAGGAGGAACTGAAAACCAAGAAGTCCTCTATTTAATTGCAAATAATAGTATCCAATCCAATAATTATTTGGCCTAATATTATTTCTGAATTAAACCTGAGATACTGTGTAAACTGAACATTTTACAAAGGAAAAATTTCCTTATCAATGAAATATGATCTATTTCTACTAGGATAAGAGAAAACCATTAAACTAATGGGAATTTCTAATACATGGTAGGTATAGCACTCTCTTCATTTCCCCTAAGTGCCAGAATAGTACATATCTTGACTACTTTACTGCAAGACCTATCCCAATGGCCCCAGCCTTCAGCAGACAGTATCCTGGAGCAGCACACATCTAGCAGCAAAAGACAGTGACAGACACACTCTCATTGAAGATGGGACACTCCTCACCAAGCACTTACTAGAAGGCAAAATGTGGTGGTGCAATGAAAGAGGAAATCATCGTATGCATCACTGTAGAGAATGGCGATTCCGTGCGACAGCACCGCAACGAGCCACAGAGCCAGCTCTTGGCTAGCCCAGGCAGGTGCATGCCACAAAAATGCAAATCACAAGCAGCATCATGTAATAGTTTTATTTATACATTACAGATATAAATTATATATACACACACACCTGCATATGCGTAAAAGAAAATGAAACAACGTGCACAATGGCTTTTCTTACTCCAGCATGAAACCTTTTCACATTATTCTCCACCACAGCTCTCCCAGCAGGTATCTGCTGTGTGGAAATATCATCAAATTCCTTGAGGTTTTAAATATGTAATGTAACTGTGCTTTTTAGTAATGCAAGGAAGGAGACTGGTGTGCAGTAAAATATGCTTCTTGTTTTACACACCTCCCGCTGTGATAGATCATTACAAGGATACCAACAGTCTGAATTAGATATGGTGGCACTGTGGTGAGTTTTAAAAGAAAAAATAAACCAGATTTTTAAACAGCTTTACAGTCTCTATTTTTGGTCTTCACTGAGAGACATAACCTCACAGATTTTAATTAATTCATAAATAAAATGTAATTTACAGCTTTTTTTTCCAAAGAGATTATCCCATTAATGTGTAAAACCTTGCATATGTCTAGTATTCTATGTATCAGATATGCATTACAAATTTTCAGAGAGATTTTAAATGCCTTACTTATATGGTAAGTTAAGGAAAATAAAGGTTTACTAATTTCAGCAGAGAGCAGAAATGCTGAAAAGTGTGAGGTTGGCAAAGTATAAAACCAGTAACTTATGACAGCAATTTAAGCTGAAGCACATTATATTTTCTAGCAGGGTGTTTGTGGGTTTGGTTTGTTTCATCTCTTTTTTTTTTTTCAGCTGACAAATGTCCCCACAGCAGCATAATGAGACGACTGTGTCCTGTTGAACAAGTCACCCCGCCCCGTACAATGACAGCACACAGAGGAATTAAGTCACTGAGGAAGACCTACTTTTAAGCCTCCAGGAAAGCTTACAAGGGAGTGGTTGGTGTAAATTCATTAGGCTTTTGAAGCACCCAAACAGGAGGATTTTTTATTGCACATATTTGCATGTGTCTGTATCACTGTAAGTAGGGGGATTTTTTGGCTTCTTATTTAAGAGGTACAATTGCTGCTCTGAAACAGTAAGTGTTTTGTTGCATTTGGTTTTTTAATCACAAATACTCTCAATGGGTAAGTGGACAAGTATCAGATTTAGACCATTTTG